ACATTTGGCAATTTAATCAGCAGTCCCCATTACCAATATGATCATCTAAGTGGGCGTAAATACTAAACCTGAGTAGAATTATTACTCTAGAAAAGTTATTTTTTTCACCAACAACAAAATACCTTAGTTGCTTTTTAAGTTATTTATAGAAGATTCAGTCTCCCCATGATTACAAGACTCTATTAACTCCAATTGTAATTCACACACCTTCATGAGTGGGGAAGAGGGATGGAATGATGGTTATCACCTAAGAAGCAACATCAGGGATACCCACAGGTGTATATCCCACAAGTGAATCTTACCCATGACTCGGGCTCATGCTGAAAAGGCCTGGGAACAGTTGCCTTGGGAAATAATAAACTATCAATTGTAATAGTCAGTCATAAACAAGCACACTTCCATTTGATGTACTCATAACCAGGCCTACCAATATACTGATCTCAAGATAAAAGTCTCTCTATGGTGTTTGCCTATCCAGTGAGTAAATCACCCAGCACACAGATTAATTATTTAGCAGTTAATCCATTAAATACAGACATGTTACATACACATTAAATACCAAGACCGAACACATAAAATAAAACTAAGGGAAAAACCTATTAAATATATGCTTTCTAACCATCTCTTATTCATGACTATAGGGCTATCACCCAACATGAAAAGGAATCTCCTCTACAGCATTGGAGGTTCCTGATATTTAATCAATAGGTGGAACCAACATATTTTGTTGTTGTTGTTCTTATACAGATCATCAAGAGATAATCTTTTTTATTTTTTTGAGACAGAATCTCACTCTGTCACCCAGGCTGCAGTGCAGTGGTGCAATCTTAGCTCACTGCAACCTCTGCCTCCTGGATTCAAGTGATTCTCCTGCCTCAGCCTCTCAGGTAGCGGGGATTTCAGGCGTGCACCAACATGTCCAGCTAATTTTTGTATTTTTAGTAGAGACAGGGTTTTGCCATTTTGGCTAGGCTGGTCTGGAACTACTGACCTCAGATGATCCATCTACCGCGACCTCCTCAAGTGCTGGGATTACAGGTGTGAGCCACCAAGCCCAGCCAAGAGATAACCTTAAGATATTACCTTGTTTCCATTTTGTTTCTTTGTTCAATTCAGCATCATCATGATTCTAATACAGGTAATGACAATTCAGTTATTTGATCCAAAAGAGCCAAACTATTACTGCTACATAAGGAACAATCATGTTATAGCTTACGCATGTTAACCAATGTTAATTTCTGTGTGTTTTTAAATAGTCAGATGTCTTCTCCCTCATTCATTTAAGAGGGACTCTAGGGGTTTATCCACCTCAATACTTAACCACCCTTCAATTCACCTGAAATATATTACTGTGAGTTTTTGGAAGGAAAAATGGATATTAAATAGGGAACTTCTAAGCTTGTCATTCAAGAATCTCCAAAACTAGTCCTTAATGACTTTTCCATCTTTCTTTTTTAAGTTTAAATTTTGCCCACATATGCTTTATGTATTTAAATCAAAATTTTTATTTATTATTTTAGTTTTTGATTGACACATACAATTGTATGTATTACATATAACATGTTTTGAAAAATATATATACATTGTAGAATGACTAAATCTAGCTAATTAACATAAATTACCTTATATAGTTATTTCTGTGGTGAAACACTTAACATCCACTCCCTCAGCATTTTTTGAGAATATGATATCTTGTTATTAACTGTAATAATTGTGCTATCCAAAGAGTGCTTCAAATTGTTTGTCCCATCTAACTGAAATGTTGTATTCTTTAAACAACATCTTCCCAACCCTCCCCCACCGATTTCCCCAGCCCCTGGCAACCACCATTCTGCTCTATTTCTTTGAGATAAACTTTTTTAGACCCCACAAATGAGTGAGATCATGTGACACCTGTTTTTTTGTGCCTGATATTTCACATAGGTTGATATCCTCCAGGTTCATCCTTCTTGTCACAAATGACAGGATTTTCTTCTTTTTTTATGGCTACATAGTATTCTACTGTGTGTGTGTGTGTGTGTGTGTGTGTGTATGTATACACACACACACACACACACACACACACACACACACACCAAATTTGAGTTTGCCCACTCATCCACTGATGAGTCAACATTTTTAAAAAACATTCAAGATTCTGTATGTGCAAGAAACTACCTCAGATATTTTGTAACTTTGAGTCTTTGTTCTAGCCATTTCATTCTGATCTGGAATATTCTTTGTGTTTCTCAAAATCTAAATTTTTCAGGGCTTAGCTTTCTAACCCAACCCATTAGCCAGACTCCCTTTCCTTAATTCCTGCAAACCTTACATTTTTACAACTTGTTTGGCCTATATAATTTGATGACTTGCCTTTATTGTTCTCATGTTAAACATGGTTAAATAATTTCTCAGGCATTTTCATTTTATCTTCACTGCTCTAGTGCTGTGGTCTGAATGTTTGTGTCCCTCCAAAATTCCTATGTTGAAATCCTAAACCCTAAGGTGATGGCACTAAGAGGCAGGACCTTTAAGAGGTGAAGCCCTTATGGGGTGAAGTGCCTTATGAATGGGATTATTACCCTTAATAAAAGAAGCCCAAGAGACCTTCACACCTTCTGCCATGTGAAGACACAGTGAGAGGTTGTCAGTCTGCAAACCAGAAGAGGGTTTTCACCAGAACTCAGCCATGCTGGCAGCCTGGTCTCACACTTTCACCTTCCAGAACTATCAGAAATAAAAATTTGTGGTCTATAAGCCACCATGTTTATGGTATTTTTGTTAGAGCAGCTTAAACAGACTAACACTTCTAGTTTGCTGGCATTGGGAAGCTTAAAGGGCTCAGATCAAAAATTCATTTGTAATTAGACAGTTCCAATTGGAAATGATTTTTAAATAAACCCCTTAATGTAAAAGTTGGAGCAGTGATTTGCAGCTAACAGGCTTTGAATCCTGTTACTAGAGAGAGGGGGAAGGGGTAGGCAAAGGTGGCTTTAAGCCATTATGCGTGCACGTATGCATACACATATATTCTGTTATTTTCAGCTATGGGTAGGCACTCTAGATAAAAATCATTAAACAGCCTTTCTTACATTATTGGAGTCATTTTTTTCTATCAGCTTTTCTTATTTCAATAAAGGGGACTACAAAATCTTTTAAAATTATAAAGGGGTCCCTAGACACATAAATTGGCTAGTACTCATCCAGAGGGTTTTGAGACACTATGATTCATTTCATTAGGACACATCTCACTTGTAGCTGTTCTTCCAACTAGCTGACATATAGCAGAATAGAGAACATACTTGTTTCAGAAGAAACTCCTAAGCAATCTGCCATGGTGAACTGTGCTCCAGAAGAGTCAGTTCCAAATACCAAGTCAGCAAAACTGGGCAGAAGGGAACAATTGAACTTGTTCTGGAAGGAGATGAAAAGTATTGTTCCTAATATTTATAGGATGAGAGGTATGTGTGTTTAGTCTTCCAGTAGGCCTAGCCAAGCTGATGCTTATTCCCAAAGCACAGAACCATTAGGAGGCCTCTTTCAAAAAGGCTCCATCCCTATGAAATCTCGCTATCATTATTTTGGATGGGATTTGGGTCAATGCTAAAGAACTTAATGAGAAGAGCAGCTGTGGAAGTTTTTCTTTCTTTCTATTTTTTTACATTGTACAGGATGGCAGTACATTCTACTTGAGAGAATTTACTTCTATATGCGAGATTTCCATGCTAGGCATCAATTAATGTTTTCCAGAAGGGAAACTCAGGACTCTGAAACAATTGATCAGAGCACGTGAATTAACTCCTTTGTGTGATATTTTTCTCTTATTCATAATCTTCTATTAAGCTCTCACCAAGGAGAATGACTCCTTAAAGCCTCTAAAAAGGAAGCAGTTCCCAAATCATTTACGTTTGTTTTTTTGTTTTTAGTTTTCATTATCATCTCTTCTTTTATAACAATAGATACATTCAAGATTTTTCTATAGGATTATGCAAGTTGTTGGTCTTAACTTTTTTTTTTAATGTCCATAGATTTATCTGTTCACTCAACTATGCTTTTAATTATTTACTGACTTAATTTATTAATTCATTTTAATAAAATAATCTCTCAACTTCTTCATTCAACACACTCATTCATTTTTACATTCATTCAATATTTATTGAGTGCATACTATGTGCTTCAATACTGTATTAAGTCCTGGGAATAAAATGATAAATTAAACCAAATATGATCCTTGATATCATGGGGAAGTTAAAATATGGTGGAAGACAAAGACAGAAAAATCACATAAATAAATGTAAACTGTAACTGTCATAAACGAGAAGTAAAAGATAGTATAAAAACCTGTAATAGGAAGAGTTGACCCAACCATGATTTTCTGAGGAACCACCAATGAAGCTGGGAGATGGGAAATGAGAAGGAGTTACAGAAATGAAGAGGGAAGGAAAAGTGTTTCAGGCAAAGGATGTACTCACTACATACCAGTGGCCTACAGAGGAAGAGAGGATGGTGAATATGTAGAACAGAAAAGTCAATGCAACTGAAGAGGAGGTAGGAAATGGCACACGATGAAAGATGTAGCTGGGGGAAAGATCATTAATGCATAGTCTGGAAAAATTCAGATGTGGAAGAACAGGGTTTATTCTGTCAGCTGTTCAAATAAGCCTTTCCAAATCAAGTCAGCTCTTATTCCCTCCAAGCTCAAGTTTGCACCAAATCAGCAGCAGGCTCCAAAAAACATCTCAAAAACTTTGCTCAATTTAGAAATGCAGTCAATACAGGAATAAAAATGAGTGCCAAGGGAAGCATGGTCCCCATTGTAAGCATCGAAGAGGCTGATTTAGAAAGTGTTCTCTTGTTGTTGCTTATAGATTTGCTTATTACTTGTTTGTGGAGTAGTATCTTTGGACTAAAGATTTCTTTACTCCTTTTCTTGGCTTGAACACTTACGCTTGGCAAAGAACAAGTTAGTTTAGTGATTTAAAGAGTTGTGTTTTTTTTTTCTTGCCAGTATAAAGACTCACCTATAACATTAAGCTCTGCATTGGAAAAGATAACTCCATGTTTATTCTCTGCCAAACACTGATACATGCCAGCATCTGAGAGGTTCACTACTGTTATGTTGAGTGTTCCTTGCTCAATTTGAATTCTATCCTGTGAAAGAAAAGAGGAACATAAAAACAATGACCTTCTACATCTGAGACTTTAAGGAAATTTTACCATGTGCAATATGAAGGAAGCTTAATGGGAAGAAAATAGCCATCATATAAGCAATTTACATAACACGATCTATTTATCTGTCAACTAAATTTGTGGCAGGTAAGATGCTAAATGGAACAACCAGTACATCAGTTGGTAAATGGAATTTAAATTGTAGGATTCTCTTGAGTTCTCATTGATTTAATAGTGAAGCCATTCAGATTAATATCCCCTCTAAACAGAAGAACTTGACATTTAAAATGCTTTTTTACTTTAAGGCTTTGTACTAACCAGAGTTAGGGGGTTTTGAAATATAACCAAATTTACTGTTTAGAGTGCTTAAAACACTCAAATTTTGGGCAAATGACACTTTAAAGGTTAATAAGATTACAATCTTGGGTGAAACAGAGGCAAATATTTAATATCAGTTGAGGTGTACTAAAACATGTAGATATTAATAGTTTAATATTCCCTTAGTTTATTGCTGTCAGTGAAGTGATTTAAGCTGAGGACCATCTGGCGGCCAATGTGAAGGAAGCAAAGTTAGTATGTGGCACAGATCTTCCTGATTTGTCACCTTGAGGATATACAACTTGGGTATCAATTTTCATAAGTATCAAAAAGGATGTCCTTCTCTCCAGGGGACTTGGCAATAAAAAAACCATATATATATATATATTTATTATATTATATATATATAAAGAGGCACTAGTTTTCTGTTTGCCACAGGGTCGTAAGTTAGCTGAGTGAATGCTTTATTAGACTTTGATAAAATCTAGACATCCGTATTCCCTCACATTATGAAACCAGACCAATCGTCCCACAGAAATGATAATTACTGGTTGCTGAATAAACACAGAAATTGAGCTACTGAGCTGCCTAATTTTAAAACTTGAAACTTATCTTGGTCACATCTGAGTTAACTCCTCAGGAGGCTGACCCTCAAGCAAGGGACTCAGACTCACCAGATCATGGCATCTAGATGTGAGACACCAAACCCTCCATCTGTCATGATTGTCTCTGTACCCCTCCCTAATTCCTTTCTGCACATAGCTTCATCCCTTCCCGAGCTACAGGAATTCCCAATTTTAGTCATTTAGAGAGATGGATTTGAGAATGATCTCCCATTCTCTTTGCTAAAGCAGCTGAACAAGGCCTTATTTCCTGGCAATACTCACTGCCTCAGTGATTGGCTCTCCATACAGCAAGCAACAAGACCTAGGCCAACCCCCTGGCATTCTGGCAACAATTACACAATGGAAGGAAAAATACCAGTACCTAGGTACCTATACTTTTGCAATTTGTTTGAGTTTGGCTTTTATAATTGACAGAATCATGGACAAGCTGGAGCCCTTCCAACAAATGGAGAAGGTAACATGAGGCAGGGGACGGGTTAGGCAAAGCAGCCCCTTTTCTCTTCCTGTTGTATAAATTCATGTAGGGGCCATTGTTCCAAGCAGGCACTGTTTCCTGGGTGGCCTCCTGGAGGAAGAAATCTGAGCATGAGACTGCCTCTCAATTTGGAGCCTGAGGAAAATGTCAAATTTCAATTAACATTTGAAGCTCAGTAGGAAAATACATAAGGAAAATTAAATTGGACACAATTGCTCCTCATTCTCAGGGTCTCCCACTCTGCCCCTGCTTCACTCAGATTTCTTTGTCAGAGTGTTTCTCTATTTAGCTGGACATTCTGTATTGTGTCAATACCACTTTTCTCGTAGTGGATCCTGGAATGTATCTTCCTTTGTATCTTAGCACAATTGCATGTTCCAGACCTTCTGCATAACTTTCCCATTATAAAGCCACAGATATTAATCTTTGAAGACCAAAGATCCAGTACAAGAACTTAAGTGAAGGCTGGAGAATTGAATTTATGTGCACTTTCTATTTATCAATTGAATTCACTTTCACTTTTTCCACTATACTTTTGTTTCATTGTATATTATTTTAGAAACAATTTGCCATTCTCACATTTCCATGGCAATGAGGCCATATTACACATGATAGTCAAGACTAAGACACAGTTACCATTAATTTGCTTACCTGAGTTAGCAGAGGTTCACCATTTTTTAGCCACCTGTATGTAGGTTTAGGCCTTCCATTTGCTTTACATTCCCAGAAGACATTTTCTTCCATGGCCACGTGAATATCATTTATTTTTTGAATCCAATTAGGTTGGGCTATAGCAGTTCAAAAGGCAGAGAAAAGGTGTATATATTAAGGGTATACTTAATCTATCTTTATTATATGCAATCAAAGAACAAAAACACACTTATAATAAAATTCCTTTTCCAGATGTTATGCATATAACAAGTCTGGGTAGATGTTCAGGGAGGTGCGCATACCCTAATGTGAATACTGTTTTTGTAGTTCATATTGTGGTCTTTTAATGTCTAAAGGCAAAATGGATAAAACTACAAATATCATATGGCAAAACTAACTGTCCCTCTCCTGTAAGTATCTACTATTCTATTATTCCTTTTCTCCCTTTCAGTAGAGAGTATCTTCCCCTCACCCCCCTCCTGCTTTTGACTGGGCTGGTGTATTCCCAAGTATGCACTACATTTGCCAGACCACTTTGCAGCTAGAGGTAATCATGTAACCAGGTTCATGCCAACTGTATATGTGTGAAAGTGGTGACAGCAACTTCTGGGTTATTTACTGAAAGATACTTTGCCTAACCTCTTCTTGCCCCTTCACATTGACTGGAAAAAACTGACAATTGAAATAGCCTTGGATGCAGACATGGAAGCTACATAGGATGAAAATGCTGACCTGTCAGCCTTGGACCATGAATGACCATGTGGAGCAAAGCAGCTCCACACCCACCTGCCAGTTTTGGGGAAAATAATGTGAGAGACAAATAAACTTCTTATCTAAGCTACTTCATTTTGGAGTCTCCTTTGTTAGAATAGCTTAGCATGACCCTAACTAATATGCTTCACTCACACATGTTGTATAGATAAATTTTGTGACTCCTTTCTCCTTTAAGACTATCATCACTGTTGATTATTGATTTCATATTGATAGAATGTTATCTATAGGAATATGATGCTAGAAGCCCAACTCTTTAAATGAGTCCTGATTTTTATCAAACCTTCTCAGGAAATCAAGTCCTGCCCACAGTCTAACATAGGAATTCAAAGCAGCACTGAATTCCCTCATTGCCCACTGCCATCCACTACCCCTGCCACCCAAATGATACCATATTTTCTGTACTTCATTGAAGTCACATTTTCTTTCCTTATTTTCAATAGATATAAAGACAATGTTAATTCCATGTTCCATAAAAAGTCTTCATAAATATCAAATCTTGCCTCAAGCACAATTCATGCCATTAGGAATAATGATAAATATATTTAGGTAGAAGACCTTCAGTCCAAAGTCATGCAGAAGATAACCATAGCTGTCATTCTGGAATTTAATGCGTTCACAGGGCATTTCTACAGGGTAATGTCTATCAAGGTAAATCTAATAATCAAAGTTGATGTCAGTATTTAATTAGGAGATGCTACTCATTATTCTTAACATCTCTTCCAGTTGACTTGACCTCAGCATCTTCCTTCAACCAGGCTTCAAATCACCCATAATTTAATTCAAAAGGAAATGGCTACTGTTGAGGTCAAACTGTATATTTTACCTTTTCAATAATCAACAAAACTAGAAAAACACTCAACAAGTCACTTAACCAGCAGAGGTCTTTAGGCCCTTGAATAAATGCTGCTTTTTTCTTTTCTTGTCTATAAGCAATTTTATGTTTTTCAAGGAGCAAAACACAGTTTTACAAATCCTCTATTCATGGGATGATGCATTGCTGCATATGAGGAGAGGCCGAAAGGGTCAACTTCAAAAAAATTTAGAACATTAACAAGCATTAACTTGAATGAAGGGTTATAACCTACATCCTGAAAAGAGCTGCAAGTCTTCGTTGTTCTTTATCTTCCTGCTGCTAATGCAAAGGAAGCTAAAAAGGTTCTCTGCTTGGAGAATTTGATGTGTAACCCTGATACGGCTAATGTAGTTGTATGCCTGATTTCACATTCAACCTGCTGAATATTTACCCCCTACAGAGTCCATGAAAACAAAGCAAACAAGAAAAGCCACAGAAATCTGTGTGGAATATTAACGACAAAGCCAAACTTTTGAAAGAGAGTAAGGAAAAAAGATGGAAGGGCAAATGTAACTTATGAAGCAATGTCAAGTTGAAGTTCAAAAAGGAAACATCAAAACCACATGCAGAGACAGAAACTTCAATGTCATGGATTTCCTGTAACACTTGGGCTTACTTATTGCTTTCTTTCAAAAATGCAGAAAGCTGGAAGCAAAACCTTGCAATCTCAAAAAGCAGGTGGGGCAGAGAAGGGAGGGACTGGAGAGAATTTTGAAAAGACCTTGCAAAGTTCTAACTAGTTAAGCACAGAAGGGCTCATCTCTTCCCACAGGGTTATAGAGGTCAAGGAGTTGGAAAAGAATAGTCAGTGGTAGTTATTTGTGCTGGTCAAGGTGAAATCAACAACAAATTCAGTGTCTGTGAGAGATCACCTGGTACTTTCTTTGTTTTTAAAGTAAAATTAATTCATAGAAGACAAATTTGAACTGATATAAACATTTGCCTCTCAAAGTACATATCTGAACATGGGCTCATAAAAATCAGAAATGAAATATTATTTTATAGACATGACAAAGAGAGATAGTCTTTATCTTAACATGCCAATTGCAAATCTACAAAGCAAAAGCCCACGTAGTAAAAGTTTTCACTCTTGCACACTTAGATTGGAGGAATCATATCTAAGTGTGTGAGTTTTTCATACTAGAATAAATGAAGTCATGTGCTTGATGAAAATGGCTCATATATCTTTATTTTTTGGGGGGGCTTACCTCGTTCAAAGTCCTTTGATGACAAAAATCCCAGTTTAGCATATTATAAGAGATATCATTAGCCCCTCCCCCTTCTGTGATAATGCATTGAGTACAGGGTATTTATCACTTAATATCAAGGTTCAACTTAATTTTACAACTCCATATTTAAACACAGGTTAAACATCCCTAATCTGAAGATCTAAAATCTGAAATGCTCTAAAATTCAAAACTTTTTAAGCACTACCATGATGTCACATGTGGAAAATTTCACACTTGATCTCATAAGACTGATCGTAGTTAAATACAGTGAACACTTTGTTTAATATATTAACTTATCCAAAATATTAAAATATTACATAAATTACCTTCAGGCTATGTGCATAAGGTATACGTAAAATATAAATAAACTTCATGTTTAGGCTTGGGTCTAAATATTCCAAAATCCTAAAAAAATCTAAAATCTGAAACACTTCTAATCCCCAGTATTTCAGGTAAAAGATACTCAACCTGTATCAGCTCAGAAGAAGGTCTGAACAGGTTAGTTCATTATTTCAGTTCTATTATTTCAGAAGCCATTTCTAAATGTCTCTTTTTGGGGGGTAATATATGCAGATCTCACATATTAAACAGAGTTAAACACATTAACATATTAAAAGAGAACCATCTATTCTGAACTTCCATATTCTTTCAAGATTTGAAACAAAAGAATTCTTCTAGGACTCCTTAAGTCCTGTTCTCAAACTACAAATTCAAATATAAGGTTAAATGGTTCTGCTGAGATTTGACCCTGTGACACTGTTTGTCTCTTGGATACATAAACAATCTCTTCATTTCAATCTTTTGTTCAATAGCTGTCAGAAATGACCAAAATCAATGTTTGTGTATTCCAGCCATTAGAATTGGGCAAGCATCTTATTCAATAATAATTTATATTGCAAGCAGATATAATTTAAACTCAGTGGGTCAAACAATTCTCAGGAGTATTTAACTCTTCAATTTTCTAAAAACAGAAATTTCTAAAAGGAAGGAATGCCAACATATGCTTCAGACCTTAGAAACTCAAAAATTGAAAAGAAAGGATACGATGGCAAAAAAAAAAAAAAAACTTCTCTAAATTACTATCACAAAGATGACCTGTAGACATTCACAGTTATTCCTGGTTGCTTACACAATTTTAGAGAAGATGAATCATCTCCAGGGAATGTAGGAGTTTCATTGACATTGCTTAAGAATTTTAATGATAGTAGAGCTTATGAGCCTGGAGATAATTACTTGGCTTCAGTTTACACCTATATAGAGATGCTTCCCAAATCTTTATCTCCAGCCTGGGATTCTTATACAACTGACAGAATCATCAAAATATTCTCACTTTACCTCAAATTCAATGTTCCCAGTATTGGCAATAGAAATACTCATTTTCCAGTGCTACTTAAGAGAGTCTACCAGTTTATTATTACAGACTTAAACCTCTGACTTCCAACTGGCAGAAGTCACTAAAAGAAGGACCAACTCTACAAGAAATATGCATATTGCATTTTAGGGCAAGGTCAAGCTTTGATGTTTGTTCAGCACTGACAATCTGCACTTCTCTGGCTTCAGACTCTCATCCACTCCCCACACAACAGCAATCAGTCTCCTCACAGGGGTCTTCAAACTCAATTCCATGAAGCTCCAAGGGTTCTTGGAAGTTATTCCCTTCAACATTCATTCAAATTCTCAGTATTTAATACACAGCAAGGCGGCTTCATTTAATACAAAGCAGCCTTGCTTTTTATTAAATATTGAGAATTTCTTGTAAGTTTCATGTTAAAAAAAAAGTACCTTGAGAATTAAACATACACATACTTGCTGATAACTTGTTTTGTAAGAACAGCTTTGGAAATGTAGTCTGGAGACTGGATGCCTGCTTTCTCTTTGAACTCAGAGAAGTTTGGACCGAATGATGTCTAACATTCCTTCTGATTTTAATAAGTGAAGCCTTTAGCCTTTAGATTGCCTCTTAAACCAACCGGATTCATAGTTCTCCTAGTTTTTCTATTAATTTGTGCTTCATTCAGACACTCTTATTTATGGTTTCTTCATCTCTATAGAAGTTACAACTGACTTGCTTCTGGCAATGGTATGGGAGATGTCATCAGGCCAATCCTTTTACAGATAGCAATGATAAACTCAAGTCAGAATATAAAAACCAACTATATGAAGATACACTAGAAGGCAACTCAAAACAGCCATATTTCTATTAATAGGTATTCATCAATACATAAAACAAATATAACCATAGGAAGTAATCTGTGTATGAGATAATGAATAAGATTTGTGA